TGCTCATCCCCACCAATCCTGGGCTAACTTGGTCCAGGGGGCCCAGGAATCCTGCTGACAGACCTCTCCTGCCTGTTTGGAGCTGGCTGGGGTGCCCGTGCCCAGCGTGGCATGGGGGGTCCAGACGTGCCACCAGCACAGGGACAGCCCCCCCACCCTCCTCCCTGGGTGCTCTGAGCAGCCCCAGCCCCTGCCAGCTATTACTGCAGCCACAGATACACTGCCCTCAGAGAAATCAGAATCAATTTAGGCACCTAATCTTGGGATGTCTGGGGGTGAATTGGTTTGGAATTAATGGAGTAAAACAAGGCAGTGAAAGCCCCTGGAACACGCTGGGCTGGGAGCGGCTGCAGCCCCGGGGAGGGAGCGACAATGCACAGTTTGCACCGTGAATTTTTTATTAAGGGCTGGTTTTTTTTTTTATTTTTTATTATTGAATATGAATATTTTACACGTCCAAGCTCAGAACAATGCTTTTTTTGGCTGGCTCTGCACTTTTCATGGTTGTGTACCCTTGCATTGCATAACTGAGAGAGATCCATTTACACACAGGGGAAAGGGGACTAATGAATCTCAGCAAAGCTAACTTTACTGTGTGTGAAAAAACAGCACTCTGAAGTTTTCCAAATAAAAAAAATATACATACATAAAATACTTGCATGGAATGGCTTAATAAAATCAGTGTGTGTGTGTGTGGGTGCACGTGTGGGTCTGTGTGTAATGACTCCCTCACCCAGAGCTGCAGCTCGCTCCATGTGAGGACATCTCCACCTGGAAAAGCTCTGGAAAGTTCTTCCCTCTTCCATATCAAACCCCTCATAGCTACTCACCTGATGTGTCCAAAGCTGAGAAATGGAGGTGGAGCTTCAGGTGCTCGGTAAATCCTGGGGTGGAGCTGCTCCCACTCGGTGCAGGGCTGGTATTTACCTGTTCCTGGTGACACCTTTATCCTTTCAGGTCATTCCTGAATGTCCCAGGGGTTGTTTCTGGACACCCCTGCACAGCCCCTCTGGCCCCATCCCTGGGAACATCCAAGGGCAGGTTGGACAGGACTCTGAGCCTTGCAGGGGGATTGGACTAGGTGGCCTTTACACGTCCCTTCCCACCCACATCATTCCATGATTCTTTGATCCTCAGGCATCCCAGGCTGTGCTGGGTCCCCACTGGTGTTTGGGACAGGCACAGCTCCATCTCTGGGCATCTTTAGGAGGTGCCAGTCTGCCCTGAGCAGCTGCTGGGTGTGTCAGTGCCAGGCTGCCTGGCATCACCTCGTTCTGCCCAGGGATGGGGGAGAAACACCTGATTTACCTGGATAATTCCCACCTGACCCTGCTGGTGGGACCTGGCTTTTCTGAGCTCCCTGTGCTGTGCCCTGGGCATCACTCAGGGCAAACAAAGGATGCTCCTTTGCCACCTTTACCCTGTGCCCCTTTGGAGGAGGCACACACCTGGCACCTCTACCCAGCTGTTTTCAGGACAAGCTGCCCATCCCCACCCTCCTGGAGCCCTGCAAGGTGGGCTGAGGGCACCTGTCAGCACCCACACAGGATGGGGCAGGGGGCAGGAGACTGGAATAACAATTGTGTATATTTGAACCCAGGGGGTTTATTGTGTGTGTGATAATGGGGAGGAGAGGGAGAAAGCAAGAGCTCTCCTACAGCTCTGGAGAGCTCACAGCCAAAAGTGGGCAGGGTGACAAGAACCACATTGTTTGGGGTAATCGGTGTGCATTGTCCCGGGCTGACACTCCCCAGTGCCAACAAAGCCTTTAAATTCTCAGGGAATGGGCAAAGTGCAAAATGATGAATTGTTTGATATTTAAAAGAAAATAAAGAGCTGCTGCTGGCTTGAAATTTAACCGGGACTTGGCGAGGGAGGGAAAAAATTCCCGGGTTCTGGCAGGGAGAGAGTTAATTTTCCTCCCGGTAGCTGGTGTGGGGCTGTTTCAGATTTGTGCTGGAAAGAGTGTTGATAACACAGGGATGTTTTCATTATTGTTGAGTGGGTTTTACACAGAGCCAAGGCCTTCTCTGCTCCTCACTGCACCCCAGCAGCAGTGGATTGGGGTGCACAAGGAGCTGGGAGGGGACCCAGCAGGGACAGGTGACCCCAACTGACCCAAGGGATATTCCAGACCATGTGACACCACGGTCAGCATGGAAAGCTGGGGGAGAAGAAGGAAGGGGGGGATGTTCTGGGTGATGGCATTTGGCTCCCACTCTCTAATCCCTGCAGCCAGGGCTCTGCTCACCTGACCAGTGCTGCTTTCCTGAGCCTGGAAGGATCCCAGGCACTTACAGAGTCACAGAACGATAGCTGGGGTTGGAAAGGACCTCTGGAGAGCTCAGCCCAAGGCAGGTGACACAGGAACACATCCAGGTGGGTTTGGAATGTCTCCAGAGAGGGAGACTCCATGCCCTCCCTGGGCAAATTCACAGTTTAAATCCTCGGTGTATCCCGAGCACAGGGAGAGCACAGGTGGAAACACATCCGAGGAAGGACTCCTGCAGCTCGTTTCCTGTGCTGTGGGGACTCAGGGAATAAGGTCCCAAATGAGTGGGACCTCAGAGCCTTCACAGCAAAAATGAACTACAACTGAGGGAATGACTTTCCAGTGCCCTGTGCAGCCATGGCAACACAAGGTGAGCAGGAGGCTGAAACAAGGCTGGAGTCAAGGAACGTGTGCCAGCTCCTGCTATCTAGTGGTGTGTCCTTGAGCAAAGTCGTGCCTGGATGGGAACAGCCCAGCCTGGGGGTGCTGCAGGCCTGGAGTGAGGGGCTGTGAAGGAGCCTCAGCTGGGAGGAGCTGAACCAGGTCCCTCCACGTAAGAGGAGTTTGGTGCCAATGAACCCACCCAGGACCACATCAGGCCATGTCCTGCTCTGTGAGGGTGAAATCTCACTAAAAGCACCCGGAGGGCTCTGCTGGCTGTGACTGTGTGAGCACAGTTTGTGTCTCACTGGGTCTGCAGAGCTGTCCTGCTCTTCCCCTTCTCTCCTCTCCCTCCTGACAGCACCCTTGGTTGCACCATTCCCCTCACTCAGGTCCCCTCTGCTTTCCAGCACAGTTTTTCACATTTTTATTTTCCATCAGATTTTTTTGGTGCCCCCTTTTTTTTTTTTGTTTTATTTGCATTAGATTATTGGAGCAGGAGCCCAAACACTTCAGCCACTGCAAATCCCTCCTTGCACAGAAGTCAGTGAGCCGTGAAATATTTAAACTGTCCACAGTTGTACCTCGTTTGTTCACCCATTTCCAGAGGGCTGCTAAAAGGTGACATTCTGGAGGAGCAGAAAGACCCCAATTGCTGATTCTGATCTCACAACAGCTCTAAAGTGCTCTGAATACTTGCCTTGACTTGATGGAGGAATATGGATCTCAGCTTGTGGAGCCTCTGGAGCAGGAAAGCCTCGTGCTTTCTCCAGCTCTTTGCTTTGTGCTTTCACTCTGCTCATGGGGAAAAGGAGGCTTGGTGGGTCCCATGGAGTCGTGTTCACACCGTCCTCCTCTCCCCTGCCCTGGTCCCTCCAGCCTGGTGAACCTTCCCCTCGCCCTGCCCAGGGAGCGCTGGGGGCTCGGAGGGTTCTGTGCCTCCTTCAGAGCACTTGGGAACGTCTTGGAGGAAAGCAAAAGCGTCGTGATGCTTCCGCAGGCAGCGGGAGGAGGCGACAGGTGACTGCTCGGTCCCAAGGCAGCAGAGGGCATCCCTGAGTTTGGAGAGTCACCTCCGGGGCTGAGCCAGCACAGCCAGCCCGGAGCGAGGGGTTAACGAGCCACGTTTCAGCTCCGCTCCTCTCTGCCTGTTAGTCCTGAACAGACCCAAGAAGTTCCCAGGTGTATCTTCAGGGTCCTTTTTTCCCCAGCAGTTTCTGAACAATGTGTAAATCCCAGTGCAAATCCCTCTCCCGAATTAGGGGGGGGTTCTCCTGCCTGACTGGGAGCAGTGCACGCACTTGCAGGTGGATAAAGATGAGCCCTGTATAAATAGAGAGTTTTCAAGTTGTTTGTTTGAATGCAGATTTCATTGCTGAAGATTCACACCTTTGTTATGAATTTCATAGTTCACTTTGGCAATCCAATCCCACAGCCAGGGTATTTACACTGGTGGGATTATTTATAAACACCAAGCTCGGCAAGGCAGATTTGTTTAGTAATTCCAGCAAAAGTTTGCAGGATCATCCCTTTCCCCAGGGCTCAGTGAGGAGGCAGAGGGATAACACTTTCTCCTAATGGATTCAGCTTTTCCCAAAGAGGATCCATGCCAGCTCAGGACCAATCCCTCAGAGGCCTGACATCAAAACATTGGCTCAGGAGTGCTCTAAAAATCCACCCAAACCAGACACCTTTCACCTTGTGCTCTCTAATTTACTAACTTTAATGAACATTATATTATCTAAACTTAGTCTCACATAGTCCCTCTGCTGGAATATTGGTGGAACCCCACAGATGGACAAACAGAGGCGATGTTTTATGGGATGTGACGCAGCAAATCCCACCAATAGCACAGAGATCTTCTGGGGGTCAGAGCTCTGCCTTAACAACCAGATCGACTTTTTTCCTGAATAAAAAACAACTGCAGAAGTCCAGCCCCTCCTGGGCTCCTCCAGGAGACCTCCAGGGCCATGGGGAAGGGTCAGCAGCCCCTGGTTCCCCCTCAGAGGTCTCTTTGCCCTCCCTGGCAGTTTACAGGGAGTGGCACAGAGCCAGTCCCCGCGGGCACAGGAGTGCAGGGGCTCCTTCTCAAGTGTTTAAAAGTCTGACAAACTGTTTGCAGTTCTAGCAGGGATCAACACATTTCTAGAATTAAAACCAACATCTTGGATGGCAAAAATGCTCCGAACAAGGACTCTTTCTTCAACCCAATGCACAAGGGACCTTTCTTTACTAAGCTATAAAATCACTTACTATAAATCAATTATTTTTGTACTGATTTATTAACTGCTCTCCAGCTGTTCAGATTGGCACTTAAAAAAAATCCTGGATGGTCCCACCAAAATGTTCAAAAGCATTTTCTCAGGAGTACTGTTGGTCCAACCTCATTATAGTCTCCCCTGGCAATCCACATATTCCTGAATGCTCTTAAACCGCCAAGCATGGAAGCACCAATCCACATGGAGCACATCCAGCCTGGACATGAGTTCTGTTGGGAACTCCTGCCTGGAGCTTCTTCAGCAGCCTCTCCTTGAAACCTTGGGAGAGAGTCAACCTGCCCAGTTTGAGCAGGTTCCTGGGGATGTTGGATTTAGATGGTGGATTTGCTCACAACGCTGGGTGGTTCCTCCCAACCCCTGGCCCTGGGATTTCTGCCTCTGTGGGCACTTCAGGAGCTGGGAATATCTGGCCTTCTGCCTTGACAGCCCTCGATCAGGGAGAATGTACACACACAAGCTTTTCAGGCTTTTCCTGTATATTTTGGCAGAGCTCTAAGGCAGCAGAGCACAGCTTCTCCTGTACATCCCTGACAACTGGGCACGGGCACAGAGGGATGGTGGCACTGGCAGAGCAGGGACAGGGCACCCAGACACACCCAAACACCTCCTCACCCTCCTGTTCCTGATGGCACAAAGCACTGAGGGGGCCTGGCTCAGCAGGTCTGGCCTCTCACTCAGCTTCATTCTGAGTTCTTGTTCATACAGGTGTCTCCAAACCTTCTCCATGTCATCCCAGGATGTCACTGCCCCAGTTTCCACTGGGAAAGCAAAAGACAAAACATCCCTTTAGGTCTGACTTCCTTCCACAACAGAACAGTCGTCGTGACTCACCCCAGACATGACCAGTTGGCATTTGGGGTGTCCCACAACAGTAGAAATGACCCAACAGAGGGACCAGAGATAACGTCCCAAGATCCGGGGGCAGATTCCTGGCACCTCGGAGCCATCCTGGCCAGGGCTGACCCACTGCTGCTGGGGCAGAGCATCTCCAGAACCTTCCAGATCCTCCTGTGGTGAATGGGCACCACTCCACTGCTGCCCCAGTGCTCCTCACTCCCAGTGCTCCTCATTCCCAATGTTCCTCATTCCCAGTGTTCTTCATTCCCAGTGCTCCTCATTCCCAGTGTTCCTCACTCCCAGTGCTCCTCACTCCCAGTGCTCCTCATTCCCAGTGCTCCTCATTCCCAGTGTTCCTCACTCCCAGTGCTCCTCACTCCCAGTGCTCCTCATTCCCAGTGCTCCTCATTCCCAGTGTTCCTCACTCCCAGTGCTCCTCACTCCCAGTGCTCCTCATTCCCATCTCTCCCCACTCCCAGTCCCTGCAGCTGCACCGGGATCCGGAGCGTTTGACTCAGGGCTCGGACTTGGAAGTGAAACGGGGTGTTCTTACTTCCCAGATAAATTACAGCAGAGAATCAATGGATTTTTCCAGACCCTGAGGCACAGAGGAAGGTCGGTTACAGTAATTGCATTTGCATTGATTTATATTTGGATTCTGTTTGGGGTTTTGCTGGGTTTCTAAAGGAAACGTTTTTAATGAGGTCAAAAATAATGGGAGAGCCGGTTTAAAATACGAACCCCAGGTATCCCAGAAACCTTAAGAGGGAAGAATCTCCCATTGGAGAAGGTGTGCTGCTCCCCACAGGACTCCAAGGCAGGAGTTACTGCATCCCTGCAGTGTGTGCACACCTGGAAACTCCGTGGAGGGGAGGAGAGATGAAAAACAATGAGATTTTCACATGTGCCTCTGGCTTAGCTGAGACTCTGCAAATATTTCCAAGGGTTGGTGAAAATTAGGACAATTTCACCTCCCTGTAAGTATTAACTGAGTTACCAGTTTGCTTTTCCAAATAATGTCTGCACTGGAATGAGACCTTTTCCAACTGATCCTTTATGGGAAACTCCCAAGAATTATGCTGAAATAGTTAGAACTATCTTTGGCTCTGATTATGGCATTCTGGAATATTTTTCCCTGTCCTTGTTACTTAATTTAAAGACTGATTTTTGGTAAAATCACAAAAGTGAAATAGTAATTTCATTTGGCTTCAAGAGAAGATTTCCCAAAGAAGGAAATTTCTGCAGCTTTGAATCCAATCAGATCTGACAATCCAAATCCGTTTACAGGGGAAATTTCCTTTAAAAAAATAAATAAATCACTCTATACCTTCAGCTGGAATCCGTGGCTGCCGGGGTTTAATTGCTTCTCCTTGTGGCCCTAAAGCCAGGGCAGCTTCAAAGCAAGGGTGGCTCCTATTAAACTTAATTACCCTTTCCTGCAGCTCCCCTGGCAGAGGTGCCAACTGCTGCAGGGAGGTGGTTATGAACCAGGGGCACATTCCAGACAAAGACAGGGATTAAACAGCAATTTGAAATGCAGGCAAGTGCCCTCTGTGCACAGGGATGTTCATACCCCAGACAAACACCAGCTCTGTGTCTTTTGTTTCCATCCTGCTTCCACTCCAGCAGGTTGGTGTTAATGGTAACCCTGATGCCACCTCAGCACCATCCCCGTCCCCTCAGTACCTGTGAACATCCCCCCCAGTGTGTGCTCCATGTCCCACACTCGCTGCTCTATTAATGCCAACAGGCGCCCTCGGTGCTCCAGGGGTTGTTCCAAACATCCCATTCCAGCTCCATTTGATCCTGGCTGGTGTGCACATGGATGGGGCACAGCGAGGGGCTCCCCTGTGAACATGAGGCTGAGCATTAAAACAAGGGAATATCGACTGGGATGATTAAACCCGGACACGGGAACGCTCATCTGTTCCCTCAGATTGGTTCTGTCACACCTCACCTTAAAAAGGGCATGTGTGAATTAATTTGGGGACTGTAGGGTTTGCAGTAAGGGAAATGGCTGTTGGTGTTTAGCTGGAGTGCAGTAAATTGAATTCACAGATGAGACAATGTGAGACATCAGAAACACCTCGTGCTCACCTCGTGCTGATGTGACAAGATCTCGTTCAGGGATGGAAAGATGGTTCATTTTCTGAGAGCTGTGCAGAGACACCAGAGGAACTGGGCTGAGACCAGCACATCCATCCCAGGAACCAGCAGGTCCTGCACAGCTTCCTCCCGAGGGGCAGCTCCGATCCCTGCTCTCTGTGACAGTGACAGGACCTGGGAACGGCCAGAGCTGTGTCAGGGCAGACTCAAAGCTGAGAGACACGTCGGAAATGTGGGAATAACGTAATTCCCACAACACTGCAAACACGAAGGAGCTCTGTCCCCCACTCAGCCCATCGGCCTGTGGGGACAACGTGGGGCTGTGCCACAAGTGATCCTGGTACAGACCCAAACCCAGCTGATGCTTCCCAGTGAGACAGTGCCTGAAACCAGTCGGGCTTTTCCTGACTGGACAAACAAACCCTGCTCCAAAGGATCCAGCCATGGCAGTGAGACAGGGCAGGTGGGAGAGACAGACGGGCAGGTCAGGCTGGGAGGAGAGGAAGACAGTGGGAAGGAGCTCAGGGGCTGGGAGCAGTTCTGGGTGTAGGAAGCAATAATCACCATCACAGATGCTTAACTCTAACAGCTTGACAAGATCCCTTTCCTCACACTGGAGCTGTGTTTGATTGCTCCCATACACGTTTCCATCCCAAATCCCCGTTTTGCAATGTCTTCCTGACACTCCAAACATCCACAGAGCTCTTTGAAGTCGAAGTTTAATGTGTTTATTGACACCAGTTATGATATTTCAAAACACATGGGCTACAAATTGTTACCATGCACTCCTAGTGTTTACAGTAATCCCTGTATTAAAACAAACTCAGCCTTTCCTGATGATTTTATATCTTCTTGCTGACTCACTTGCCTGTGTTTATTTAAACTCCTGTTGAGATTTTTTTTTTTTTTTACTATTCAACACTTTTGAAACATTTAAAAAAAACCCCCAACCCTATCTTTGGATTTCATATACTTTTGAAACATTTTGCCTTCATTTTTATGGGCTCCACATGGCCCAAATCTTCCTTTTGAGTTTTCCTCACAGCCCAGGTTTTCCCTGCTGCAGCCCAGCAGGTGTGTGTGAGGATCCCTGTCGGGGCTCAGCCCAGGGATGGGCGGCTCCAGGAGCTCAGCCCTCCCTGGCCACACGTTTCCCTCTGATCTCCACGTGCTGGAGATGGGCTTAAGCTGCAGCAAGAGGAGATTTTTGGAGTCCTAAAAGATATGGAGGAAGGGAAATTAAATTTGCAAAGTAATTCTGAAATGTAAATAAGGTTCCAGTCGTTGTTCTTTTAAAGGAAACTTAAATTACCGTGTTGCTAAATTGGAGCAGCTTTGGGGGCTCTTCCATGGTCTTCTGCTCTTCAGACTCACAAAGTCAAACCAGCATCTCCAGGGGTGGCTGGATTTAACAGTATCATCTAAAATGTAATAAACCCTGCGAGTGATGAACAACTGGGAAGGTGCAGGACCCACTGGGACTCAAATTTAATCCCAATGTTTTAGAATTCAGCATCTGAGAACTACTCAGAGCTCACATGTTATTTTCCATGCTGGAGAAAAGCAGATAAGATCTACACCTAGGAAATGCTATAAACTGTGCCTAAACAAAAGTCTTGGTTGAAAAATTATATGTTTAAGGTAATAGTCTGGATTATTTGAAAATGAAGAGAAGTCCAGGGAAATACTTATATTTTTTAATTTTCTGAATGCTCTGATTCAGGTTAAACAATTTCACTAACCTGGGCTCCAATCACCAGCCACAAATTAACCTTTCCTGGGAGAACAGAGGCCTTGTGACTGCACTCTGAAATAACTCTCCAGCTCCAACCCCTAAACCCCTGCAGCCTCCTCCCACATCACCTCCTGCATCTCCAGCCGGCAATTCCGGGCTGCACCGACCTCTCCCAGCACAAATACAAACATGTAGCATGAAAACTACAGCACACCAGCACTTCTTGTCATCCTGCAAGGGCAGCACCCCCTGCTCAGAGCACTCTGGGGTGAGTGGGTGGCACAAAGCCCCAAAATCTGCTCCCAGCTGGGAGAGTTGTGCCCGGTCACCCCCCGGCTCCAGGTGCGTGCAGGTGAGAGCCTCTGGCACAGAAATCAGAGCTGCTGGCAGTTTTGAGGCTGTACAGTGGTAAAAAGGGAAAGCAGGGCTCTCTCACCCTTGGCAAGCTCTTAACTCAGCATTAAATGCTCCCTGAGCTGCTCTGGAATCTCATTGTTACTTTAAGGGCCAAGCGCCACGAGCTCCGTGTCCGAGGGCTGCGGGACTCGGGCTGGGGAGCAAACTGCTAAAAGCTGGGTCTGAGGGATGGAAGCGACAAGTGGAAAGCATTCCCATGGAGTGTGCAGGGTCCCTGGAGCTGGGCCAGGACCTCGGGTCAAACCCAGTCCCATGTCCCGGGAACATCCCATTCCAGCTGGTCTGGAACATCCTCCCGGTCCGGCCAAACCAACAGCCCGGGAGCCCCCGGCCAAGGGCAGCTCCAGCTGGCACCCACGGGGCACTTTGGGAGGTTATGAAAAGTTTACTAATGAGAAACATTTCAGGACGTGGTGCCAATGGTTTTGCCTGGAGGAAGAGCTGCAACGACACGGGAACATGTAACTTTGGTGGAAAGTCTGAAAGGGCTCCACACCCCCAGAGCCGCCTCGTTTTTGTACATCCCAACAATTCTGGGCATCAAGGAGGTTGCCTGCCTGCTCTAAATATGTTTACATTGTGCTTTCTAAATGTTTAAAGCCATTGATGAAATTAAAGGCAACTTTCAGGATGTTATTGCTCCGCAGCTATTTCATTTGGGTTTGCAGGACCAGCTCTTCTTCTGTAAACAGGAATTTGATACAGCAAAGGGCTGGGAGAGCCCTGAGCAGCCAGGGATCCTCAGCAAACAATTTTGGTGGCCAAGAGAAATCTCCTTAAATGATTTCACCAAATTCCTGTTGGGAAAGACTGAGCTGTTTTCATTTCTGAGGAGGAAGCACTTGCAAATTTGGGTTTCCCCCAGCGCAGACAGTCAGTGATCAGCTCGATCTCAAACACCCCCTTGGATGCAGAAATCACCACCAAAACTTCACTGGCAGATGATAAAGCAGCAAATCCCAAGAGAAGCTCCCTCTCTGGTGGGTCTATGGGAGCAATTCCAGGCAGTGCTGCCAGGGCTCTGCACCCATCCTCACTGGGAGCCAACGTTTGGGTGTCTGTACCAGTGCTATCCATCACTGTGTTTACCATATTTCCCTTTTCTTTCCATAACTCCTGGCTTCACTCATGTCTGGGTGTTTTCTAACCAGCCTCAAGGCAATAAATCAAAGCTGTCAGCATTGGAAGAAAATTAATGTGAGAAGTTGTTCCAAAGGCCACCAGCCTTTCCCTCCTCGGTGTGTGCTCAGCTAATCCAGGATTCCTCAACAGCTTTCAATGTTTTCCTATTTTCACAAGGTTTGGAGACTCTGGGTGCATTTTTTTTTTTTTTTTGAAGGGTGGCTTTGACTTGCAGCAGGTAAGAGGCCAAATCCCTGGAGTTTCTTTAGGTTTTAAGGAGAAGTGAGGGTGCTCAGCACAAACCTGACCCTGGGCCATCTCTGGCCAAGGCACAAGCGAAACCCAGATCCCGAGCTGGAAAACATCAGGGCCTGAATGTGGGTTGAACTTTTCACGAAGGAAAAGGCCAAATGATTAGAAACCAATCCCGTTGCTGTGCCCTGCTGATGACGCTGGTTGAATTATTCATTGGGAGTTATTTATCCCAGGAATGTGGCTGGCATGCCACAGGAATACATTACGTGCAAGTTTTGATTTCTTGTTTCATTACTCACTCTGCCCCGCGCCGCTCAAACCCCAACCTCTCCACTTCTGAAAGTCTCTTTTCCAAGTCTGAGAAAAAGAACACTTGGGACACAATCTTCAGCTGATCTGATCCAGCAAACACCTCCCTGGGAACAGCCAGCCTGGCAGCTCAGGCATTTTCCTGGAGCCCTGGAAAAAGCAATGTTCTTACCCTATTCAGCTGCAGATGAACTCTGTAACCCTGGGCAAATCACTTTGTTCCCTGCACCTCTGGCTGCACATTTATAAAATGGACATGGTATTTCTCTGTAAGATACTGTAAGGCCAGATATGTTAAATTGCCCAGTTACTATGGAAACCGGAAAAGCACCTAATGCAGATGGATGAGTGCAGGAACAGATCCCCCTGGCTGAAAAATCACGAGCAATTGGGAACTTCTTTAGGCAAAATCAAGGTGTAATCAGAAGGATCATGGTAGTCACCAAAAATTCCTTTAATAAAAAGGAACTAGATTATGTCCTGGTTTCAGCTGGGGTAGAATTAATTTATTCTCAGCTTATTAGATTTGCCTCTGCATAGAAACTGAAGGGTTTCCCTTGAATATTTGCAAACCCTCACATTTGATTCTTCTGTTTAGATTTGGATTGGGATGTTTAGGTAGCAACTCAAATTCTTTTTGTACCAAACAAAGATCATTAAAACCAGAAGAGTGATTGCAAAATCAGCCCAGAACTCTGAAGTCTGGGATGTGTTGCGAAAGAAGTTGAATTCCAAAACTAAAATCTCAGGAGCCATTTAAAGTGAAAACTGTCCTTTCCAAGCACTGATTTTTTTTACCCCTCACCCTGAGCTTGCAGATGAGAGGTTAATAAACTTGGCCCAGGAAATCCTTGTCAGGAAGGCACCTAATTTCAGGAATAAAGACAACTGGGGAGGAATCCACAATCACACCTCACAGTGTTGCAAAGGCTCCTTCCCCACGGGACCGGGAGCTCTTCAGTAAACACAGCAAGGAAAAAACTAATTTTATTGGTTTAAATTATTATTTGTGGGTGTTTTTTCCTCTCTAGCAAAACTGGCCAAACGATGGGAGCGATTACACTGTGATGCCTCCACTGCTGTTTGAACAGGGCAGAGTCCCCCTCACGCCAGGAGGGTCCCACTGCCAGCAGCAGCCACGGAACAGCCGCCACAACGGGCAGGATTTTCCAGCTCACTGTGTGATTTGATCTCCACAAAGTCCCAGAACACCGACTGCAGGGCAGTAAAT